TTCACCCCATGAGCAAAAATAACTGACTATGATCATGACCCTTTGGACCTAAGCATCTAAAACCTTTAGACCTAAGCCCAACTCTATCATATGTTTCAATACAACAAAGTTTTAAATCAGTAAGGTTTACTTTGATCATTTAGACTGAACCCTTTATTTCTTTGCCCCTTTTTGTCCTTGTCCTGACCAGTTTGGATCTTGCTCCTAATATTTTCTCCTCAGTGGAGTCTTTGCCCTTGAATTGTGCTCTTGTTTAATATTTTAAAAGTTCATAAGGCCCAGGTCCCGGACTAGGCACCATCAGATCTCCCCGCAGACTATTTACATCCCTCCATGAACTGGAATCTGCAAAGCTTGCACGGAAGATGGCAGCATCGTGAAATGAAAGAAACTTGGGTCACTGTTTGAGTCAGGGTTCCAGCAGGAAACAGCTGATATGCTCTCAGAAGGAAAGAGAGTTTAAAGTAAGACTATTGACATGAGTGGGCAAAGTTAAAGGATCTAACACAGGATGGTGAAGCACCTGGGACTAGGAACAACAGGAAGCTGTTCTCACACTCAGGTGTAAGAAGGAAGGGAACAGCTCAGCAAACATGGCACCTGGTGAGAGCACGGCCATGGGGCGGCAGGGGGCGGTTACAAGTAGAAGAGTGAGCCATGATTGAAACAACAAAGACCCTAACCTCTTCTCTCACTCTGCAGTCTCCCACTGGTGCCTCTCATTGGCCAAACCCACTGGAAGCTGTAGGGTAAGGGAGTTAATGTGATGCAGTCCACAGGGGCACAGAGCAGAGTGGGGAAGGCAGAGAATGGGTCTGGTGGGGCAAATACAGATTATCCGGCAACATCCCTGAATCACTGCCTGGAAGAGGGGCATCCCGGAGAGCAGTCTGGCTAATAACACATACATAAGTCTTAGTGTGTGTTAAGTGTTAATCTGTTAAACTTCTACGATTTAGGGGTTTGTTTGTTCCAGCAGTTAAATTATCCTAACTAGTATATCTGGTCTATTTGTATTTTCACATTATGCCTTTTATATCCAAATTGTTTTTCCAAAATTATCAGGGGGGATATATAACAATTCTCTAAATATGTAAACAAGTGAATTTCACAGAGTTTTTAAAATATAAATTGTAAATAACTCTACTTTGAGATTATAAATACTCTATCTCTAGATGTTCCAAATTGCTGCTTTTTACAATGACAGCTCGAAAGAGAAGAAACTGTGAGGGGGGATAAAATATTGCATTTATTTTTCAAAAATGAGACTATAAGAAGGAGAAAATATCATGGGAAAACAGTCAAGTGACTACCATAGAAAAATTCTTTTCAAGACTGCCCACTCCAATTTCAACTCATTTCCTTCCTTTCAGTCCTGTGCTGACTCCCTTTCCCCAAATGAAGCACCTATTGCTCTCAGACTCCTGCTATCTTGGAAACCCACTGTGTTTCCCCAGTAGGCTGTTTCTGCCTCCTCTACCCCTGCTGTGCTCCAGGCCTCCTTAACTTTGTTGAAGCCATTGTCCCTGGACCTTGCTAGGTGAGTGGTTAGCTCTCTTAATAACTTTATTCATCCATCCATTAATTTAAAAAAAAAGCATTGGACACCATTTAAGTGCAAGCTATATTCTAGATGTTATGAGTACAGAGACAGACAGACAGAAAGTGAGGGAGAGAAAGAGATCCCTTCAGAAAATAAATTACAACATTGCTGTAGAGACAAGACGTGGAAGCAGATAACCCTAGTATAAGTTAGAAAAATGGCCAGTGACAGGCAAGAGGCACAGATAAAGTGCCTTAGATAAAAGGAAGGGAAATCTGGTTCCTACACGCTCCAGCTAAGCTAGGCAGAAGGCATACATTAGTTTATCTTTCCTTCATACAGCTAATTCCTTCTTGTCCTTCAGGAATTCATTCAAGTGTCACCTACCTAGGGAGCATTGCTTGACTGTGACTCACCCAGCACAGAGATATGCTTTCACAATCACAGCTTTGTCACATGATCGGATAATTGTCAGTTTATTATCTATCATCCCAAATGATAGTCAGTATCTGGAAGTGGGTTACAATTCCCTGCCTTTGTACATTTTCAATGTCTAACTCTGACTCTGGTGCAGAGCTTTCAGTGATGGATGGGTAGGTGGATGGATGACTGAAGTACTATTAGAGCACTAGAGGAGAAAGAGAATTGTGTGAGCAACCTAAAATCAGAAAGATAGGTTCCAGGAACTGCAAAAGTCCAGTTGGATTCTGTTATAAGGATGTGGGCAGGAAGATGGCAGGTGACAATGTTGCAACAGAAGGTGGAAAACAGTTTCTGGGGCTCGAATGATAGGCTAAGGCAGCTGGACTCATGCAATAGAGAGTAGAGAGCCACTGAGAGCTGATAAGCAGAGAACTGACAAGATCAGAGTGTTTTAAGGCAATTAATCTAGCAGTCAATAATATAATCACTTTTCATCAGGAATTTTCTTTGCCTTAACCCAAAGGAATTAATCTTATGCTGTGAATTTGAACAGCCTTGATAAATATTTCTTTTTTCCAAAGAGCTCAAACCTGCATGTGTCTAGGTCAGCCTTGAGTAAAGTATTGGTTTGCAATTTTTTTATTTCAAGCAATTAGTCTTTATGCTACTCCCTAAGCCAGCAACCACATTATTTTGATGCAACACTCTGAAATTAATTCTGAGCCGCTCCCTGAGGCCCAGCATGTGGTTACCAGCAAATGCTCATCCACAGCAGGGAGCATTGCCAGTGACTTCCATGTGAGAGTCTCTTATAAGTCAACATGTGCTGATAGAGAATCCAGTCTCTTTTTCTTTTTTTCACAAGAAATAATTTTTTAATGACACATTCATCCAAAGAGAAATTATCTTGGAATGTTATGAGAAATGTTTTAACACCTGACAAGTAACTAATTATAAAGAATAAGTCAATAATAAATATTAGACTATCATCCTTTGACAATCACTTATTATTCAATTTATCTGCCATAAGCCAGTTTCTATTAATAATGCCCATGCACCAAATCAACAAGTGATAACCTCAGACCATTTGAGATAAAAGTTGTGTCTTAAAACTGTAAAGTTCTACCAGGAAACATTAAACATGCAAGTTCAGTTGATATTTCTTTTTCAATAACATTTATTTTCTCTAGTTACCCAAACCCACTGCTCATCAGAAAAAAATAAATAATTGCAAAGAACGCAAGTACAATAAGACAGTATTACTGAGCTGTGCGATATGAAAATCACGGAGACTTTGATATTACCCAAATGAATTTCTGGAATTATCTTTTTCGGTTCCGTGTGTTCAATAATCAGTATCTCAGAAAAGAAATGCATTACTCTGAGACTGAAATATTTTTAACATAAAACTAAAGCATGTCACTAGATTTGAGCCACCTTTTTAGCTTTTTTCCCCCCAATCCCAAGAAGGATCATTTAGAAGACTTAAGCTAGATGTATAACTGAACAAGGAATTGACTCAGATTCTCACTTTCCTATTGTTTGATACTTTGACAAACTGTCTTCTCTTTTCCAAAGTCCACAGCTGGGTCGAGTGAAGGAACAAAAATAGCAACTTCTCCACTCTTTATGCTGTGATATAGACTCTTCTCTAAAACTCCTAGGGATATAATGGAAAAAAGCACAGTAGAAATTTTGGGAGATGGATGGGTAAATACATGCTTTCCCAGAAAATACTGGGATACCACTAGCCCTTCAACAAATGAGCTCACTCTGCTGGACCTGGAGTAAGCTTCCTATTTAAAATACAGGACGCTCCATCCACTTCATTAGGTCTGGAATGATCATTCTTTAAAAATCAATAAATGAATTCCTGACAGACCTGTTCTGCTAAACTAGTCATTATGGTTTCACTTTCTGCTCCCACAAGCCTGCATGAATCTTTGCCCAGTTTGGTTAATTGATATTCACAAACATTATTAACTTCTCTTGAAAAGAGAGCTCTCTCTGATGCTGTAGGTTTCCTAGAGTCAAGGATGCACAGGAGTATTCAGTTTATCAGCATTTCTACAAATTCTGTTTTTCTACACATTTAATTCATGTGCACATAAATATATAGGTCATTTTAAACTTTCATATCTGGAAGAAGATTGAAAATATTTTTATAACATTCCAGTTAACTCAGGATAATCAGAGGGCAAACATCTATCACTTAATATATCCAAAAACTATTTCATTCTAGGTCAACATTTGCTTTTATTTTTGCCATCTGGGCATTCACTATATAATCAACTTAATAACTGCTTTGCTGACACTTCATTCCCTTCATTCTTAAGTTTTAAGAAGACCATTATGAAACTCAAATACTTTACTTCTGCAGGAAAATCTAGAGCAGGAAGGCCTTGCATTCCCCCTGGGAGAAACTTATCGATTCCCATTATGAATTCAACAAGGAACTGAGTTTTACTCACATCTCAATTCCTTCAATATTCTCTGTATGCTGCAGAATCCTTTGAAACATAAATTCTCTTGCCTAATGCTCTGGTCCAAGGGAAAGTCTATGTAATTCTTACCTCAGCCAGAGAAAAGCTGTCTATTCCATAGAGGCATTAACAGGATGTAAAACAAGATGTCTCTTTTGCTCCCCACAAGGTAACTCTGTCTAATGTAAATTTCTGGATCAGACAGCCATGATATAAGGGAAAAAATTTATTCAAGACCCAAATATTTTAATCCAACATTTCAGATTACTTGCACCCATTATTATATCCTCTACCATACACTCTTTATACCAAAGTACTATGAAATGTGTTGGATGAAGTGGTTTATAATTTCAATAGTAACAGTTATTCTACCTCATGCTAAATGGTATCTTATAGTATGAGATCTCATATGTCATGCTTTGACCAGGCTATCAGAACCCAAATCCTTAATACTACCCCAGAGCTTCAGCAGTTACTATGGGAATCACCTGAAAGGGACAGTTAAGCTATGTCACCATTGCAGATTTGAAGGACACTCACAACTCATGACTCTAGTCACCCAGAACAGTTGACACCGTGGTGTCATTGAGCTCACTGCTCACAGAGGCTGAAGGCAGTTGGATGCTCTTATCTACAGTGGGGACTCTTCTGCCAACAATTTCATCCGTGTTCCTCTTTGGCCTCAGCAAAATAATGAAGCACTTGGGCTCAAATACACAACGCAACAAACCATAGCTGGATGCCAAGATTGCAAATATTTCCACAGCCACTTTGAACTTGCCTTTGGTGCTCAAGTAAGCAGGGACAAAAGAGACCCAGATGATGAAGAAAACTAGCATCCCGAAGGTGATGCATTTTCCTTCATTGTAATTGTCCGGTAACTGGCAAGCCACAACAGTCGTAAGAAAGCACAGCAAGGCCAAGAAGACATCCATCCCAAACACAGAACACAAAAATTCTATAGAACCTTCATGACATTTCAGAATAATCTTTATATTTTGAGATTCCATGTTCTTGTACACCCTTGGGGGTTCCAGTATTAAGTAGGCTGTGCATATGCCAATCTCGACTAGAACAGAGATTAACATGATGACTTTCTGATAAAGAGGGTAGATGGATATAAGGCGGATTTTGGATTTGGAAATTCTGTAGGCTAAAAACAGTGAAACAGTCTTTCCAAGAATGCCAGACAGGCAGAGAGAAAAGCCCAGTGCCAGAGTGACCTGGCGGGCCATGCAGGACCAGTTGTGTGGCTTGCCAATGAAGAGCATGGAAGACAGCCACATGACAAGAGAAACCTGAATGAGAAAGCTCAGCTCCCGGTCATTGGTGGTCACAAGTGCAGTGTGTGTGTGTGTGTGTGTGTGTGTGTGTATCACATACACAACTGTGATTGCCAAATCCACAAGCACCCCAAAGATGGAGAGAATAACAAGAGTGAATCCCAGGGCTTCATCATAAGCAAGGAATTCCACCTCGTTCAGCACACACTCGCTCTTTTGTGCATTCAACCAACAGTTGTCACCACATTGTTCACACTCCCTTTGACCTAATGCGCAAAGAACAGAGAACTGACGACAAAGAAATCCAGTTGTCCTCTTCAGCTATGAATAGCCCAAAGCAGCCAAAGGCCTAGTGCAGGACTCACTGAATTTTTTAATAGAGAATATATAATACCTCAAAAAAAAAAAAACAGCAACAGTGGTAAATGGTGTGCAGCTAATATTACAGATTGAGAATTTATTTTAATTTTTGAAATTCAGTCCCCTTCTTGGTTTCAGCCATTTCTACACGGGCCTTTTTCAGGAAGATGCATCTTTCTTTCTCTTTCAATTGTCTACTTGAGAAGGGAGTTGTGTACCCTCATAAACCCGAGAACAATCCACAGAAATATGAGAACATTAAAGCCACTAAGGTGAAAGAGAATTGTAACAGGGATAAGATTTATGAAAATACGAGCGTTTTCAATCTTGCATTCAACATCTCCCCCACCCACTGGAGAGAATTTTGCCTTTGCCCGCTCAGCTCTCCCCTCTTCACCCTCCAGATGCAGATTTGAGAGAACAGGTAGAGAAAAGTCGAGAATAAGAAGAAGAGAAACAAAAATAACAACCCTGTTGACTAAGGTTCAGAAAACACTTGAGGCATTTGGCTGGGCAGAGGCTCTAAAAGGAGAGTACTGCGACATAAGAAAAAGTTATTTGTGATGAATTTGTGGTATGAAGTGCATCTCTTCACTGGTCTTTGAAAGACGCAGGTGAAAACTGGATTCCCCCTCAGTCACTTCCGCCTGCTGGACTGGACTGCTCTTGATGTAACTCTGTGCATAGACGGGGCCACATGGGGTCCAAGGAGTCGTTCCAGGTGACATTGTGCTTGTTTTCCATTTGGGAAAATTTTTATGTTTTGAAAATTCTCTTTTAAATAAGTTGCTATTGAGGGCCTTTTGGCAAAGGACAAGTACAATTTGTGTTACCTTTAACAGAAGGTAGAGATAAAAATAAACCTGCTCCAACATGCTTCATGAGGCTAAGCATACCAAGCCCAGCTAAAACTCTGGTCACAGAGAGCAGCAATTCAGCAGGCAGTAGTGAAAAATTCACAGAGCAGTAGTTACAGAATTCAGCTGTCCTACAAATCTTGAGTAATTATGGTCCTAAGCCAATTGTCTTTAGAGATGTAATTCTAGATCTTATATTTCCAAATTAGGGATAATTCTGTAAAACACAGAACTGTAATTCACTTACTTACTAATTACTCACTATTTTTCCATAACTAATGTTTAATCTACTTCAGAACTTGAAATAATTTTAAATACTTTTTACAAATCCATGTATCCCTATTTCACATTTCATTAAAAAAATTGTTTCCTCTCTTACATCCATGGACACAGGTCTTTTTCCCAAATGTAGCAGCCTTAGAACTAAAATTCAATGTTATATTTTTTTCACTGAACAGAACATCCAATAGTTTGGATGAATTATAATTTTTATGATAAGTTGTCCACATCTATTTACAAAGATGGCTCCAAGGCCCTCTTTGCCAAAACATGCTTAACCTACTTGCATTTTAATATCAATTTAAAAAAATGATCATTTCTACCTGGCTCCCATGACACATGTCCACCAGCACATGGGATGCAGTCAAAGCAGCATATTGGTTCCCCCTGACGAATCCCCTTCCAGGTCCCGGGATGACACAGATCAGTACACACTGAATGGCGAAGCTAGCAAAGACAAATACAATGAGTGTAACAAAGCCCTTTGTCTCTACCACTCGCCAGGTTGAGAAAGTTTCCACCTGGATTTCCTTGCTTTTTTTTTTTTCACTTTCGTTGGTTCTACTTCCTCTACCTACCTCATTACTGTGGGCATGGGGGTTTTATCCTTGATCCTTTACTTTTATCTCTCAATATAAAGCAGCACATTCATTCTCCTGTCTTCAACCAGCACCTCTACATACGAACTCCAAAATCTTGACTCTAGCACCAACTTTCCCATCAGACCTCTAATTCCATACGCTAACCTTCCAACGTGTCCCTGCTCTGAGATTCCACCATCACCTCAAATTCAGCATTTCCAAAACTACCCCCATTAGCCCAATCCTCCTTCCAAATTCCTCATTTCTGTCACTGACACCACCAGTCTCATCCATCATCTCCAAACTTATCTTCTATTATTTGCCTACACGTACCCTCTCCTTCACTCAGGCCCATCTGCTCACTGACCTCCAGACTCAGTATATTATCATGATTTAAATCATGCCTTATACCATTTACTAATTGTTGATGCAGGGCACTTTGAAGTTCACTCCATCAGCAAATCCAGTGAATGCTGCTCTTGTCCCCTTCAGTCTATTTGCAACATGGCAGATAGAATAATCCTTTAAACTCTAAGTCAGATCACAACTCTTCTCTGTCAAAACTCTTCCATGGCTCCCCATTTCACTCAGAGTAAAAGCCAAAGTCCTCCAACAGCCCACAACACTCGATGTGCTCTGACCCTCGCACCCCTCTCACCTCCTCTCCCACTACTCTCTCTCTCACTCTTCCCAGCCACAGTGACCTCTTTGCTGTTCTTCCAAACTGCCAAGCACAACCCTGCCTCAGGGTTTAGAAGTCCTGTTTCCTCCACTTAGAATGCTTTTCCCCTAGATAATGCATGGACTCACTTCCTTTCAATTTTTTGTTCAAATGTCACCCCAGTGAGAACTTCCCTAACTACACGGTGTGTGAAATTACAACACTCCCCCAGTATCCCTTGTTTCAATCCCTGCTATTTTTCTCTCCGTAACATTATCACACATTAAAATACTATATCACTGATTTATTTATCTTGCATATTTCCTATTTCTTCCTACTGAAATGTTAGTCCCAATAGGTCAAGATTTGTTCTATTTTGAACACTGACATATCCTCAGCTCCTAGAACAGTGTCTACTACATATAATATTGTGCTCAATACATATCTGTTCAATTAATTAATTATTAGATGGTAAGTGCTGTGAGGGCAGTGGTCTTTTTGCAGTTTTTAATACAGAGGTGGACTCACTGTAGATGCTTAGTGAATCTGTATTGAATTACATTCGAACCAATTCCATTATACAAATATACTATAACCCTAATTTTGATAAAGATGAGAAAAATAAAATTATTATGCTTTAATGAAACATTATTAAAATAGAAGTCTACTACTACATTTTACTATCTTTCCATCAATTTTTAGTAGAACGCGCATCATATGAACTTTGTATACACAAGTAGTAACATTTCTTTGTTCATGTAAAACATTATATTGAGCACCTGCTATATGGTTAGCCTAGGAATACAAAAGTGAAAAGCCTCAGGCCCCGTTCAGGGAGAGAGCTCTGGGCCACAGAAGGCGGTTTCTACTCCAGGCCTAGGGCAGCCCTGTCTTCCTGCAGTGACAGGAGTGTTATAGATCTGTGCTGTCCAGTATGACAGCCTCTAACCACATGTGGCAGTTGAGCATGTGACATGTAGCTAATGTGACTAAGGAACTAAATTTTTAATTTTAATTAATTTTAATTTTAAAAGCTACATATGGCTAGGGACAACTGTGTTGGACAGAACAGCTCTAAGTCAAAGAAATAAAATGCAGAAGAGAGCTGTGGCCCCTACAGTGGCAAACACTAAGTTTTTGCTTTTGTATCCTGCCATAATGTATTCAAGAGCTGCTTAAGGATGGGCCAAGAAAGGGAGGAACTAATATGTATGTATGTGTGTGTCAGCATGTATGAGTCTATGTATATTTACTGCTACCCATGGAAAGCCAAGGACCAAAATAAGAGATAAAAAGAGACTTTTTAAAAAGATCCCCTAGGTACCTGGCACAGTGTAGGAGCTCAGAAATCTTAATTTTTTTGTCATATATTTGTATATCCTTTCTCAGCATGATTTGGAAGACTATCTGGAGATCTCTGATCTCAGATCAAAAGGCCACGTGAGAAGAGGGAAGATACATTAATAAGAAACGAGATGAAAAAAGACATCCTCCCCCACCAAGAAAGTTCTTGCAACAGCAAAGAAGAAACGCTGGCTGTCCTGACGCCCACTTTCAGCTCTCTCTCCCTCCTGCGGGTTCCTCCACCCTGAGATTCACGTGTAAGACTAAATTGCCAGGCTCTTCCACCACCCTATCGCTTTACTGTAACACTACAGGTAAACACTAAACTAGAATATCAAAAGCCCTACAGTTCTACTCTCCAGAACTAATATTTCATTCAGGGTAAAAAGTTCAGCCGTCTGACAAGTGATGACGCTTCCTCCGAACTCTCCTCTCCTAGCTTCTCTAGGTGTTCTCTTTGCATTGTGTTAACCAGGGGACCTAGTCTCTAGCTTCTCTTTTAAAATGTTCAGAGCTGCAGTTCTGTATATCAAAGCCCTCCTGTTGCTACAGGAGACAGAGGAATCAGATTTTAATAATAATTAATAATGCATTATTATTAATGAATAACAATAATAATGAAAGTAATAGCTTTTTGTCTGGGATAAGTACTTTATAGCCAAATCCTCAAACCTTATTTCTACTACTTTCCAAAACAATTTTAAAAACAATTCTTAAAAAGAATTTAAAAATTTATGAAACTCATCTTTTTCTCCTAAATAACCTCTCAATAAAGGACTTTTTGAATGACACATTAAAACTTATTGACATGTTTGTGCGCCATATATACATATATATACACCATACTGGAAGCTAGTGTTCCCTACATCAGCTTATGTTATGAACTTGTAAATCCTTCTTCCCATTCTTTGACCCTGGGAATAAATGAGAAAAAAAGGAGGAAGAAATGAAGTTCCTCCAGGGCCACAGTCAGACAGGGAAGGGAAGGATTTCTGGGTTACCCCAGAGTAATGGTAGCTGCTAAACTCTGAATCTCTCCACCCATTCTCTGAAAGAGACCATACAGGTTTAAAAGGAAAAAGAAGTCAATAAAACCACACATGACCCATGACTTCAGCATCATAAAGAGCCTGAAAATACTATGAATTTCAGAGTGCTTATAACTAGAGAAATAGCCATTAAATCCCAGGGCCATCTCTAGAGCCCCTCCTCATCCCTAGAGGTATGGAAAATGAAGAGAAACTGGGAAAACTGCAGAGAAGAGTCAGGAAAGCAGACACCCAAAGGTTAATGGGGGAGAAGACAAAATCATTCCTAGAAAGAAAATGCCCATCCTACATTAAAATAGATCCAAACTTTGTAGAAACAGCACTGGCTTTAGGGCAAGGTCTTGAAACATTCAATCCCCAGTACCACCATTTAAAAAGAAAAAGAAAAAGAAAAAGAAAAAAAAAGATATGTATTATATTTGGGAAAATTAACTTGGAATCACCAACTTCAGATTTCTAATATTTCATAACACCTGAAACAATACAAAAATGCAATTCTCTGTACATATAAACAAGGTAAGATGTCAGAGTAACTAACCTCCCATGATTCCGTCTTCCAAAATATTATTGCATTCTTATTCATCACGAGTTCAGATTTAGAGTTTGTGAATATATATTCTCCGACCTTCACAAAGGCAGTCTCTCCATTATCATCTAATTGCCAGTTTAGAATGTCATAGTATCCAGTCACATCTCCATTATCATCCATTTCTATTCTCATTCCATTATGGGTTGTAAACTTAAGTGTCTTCAAATAGTACATTAACTAGAAAACAAGGGGGGAAAACAACAGAGCAAAAACCAATTGCAAAAATTTGATTGCCTAGAAAACAGGGTTTTTAAAGAAACTAATCTCAAAACTCATATTTCACTCATGGGACTGAAGTTTTTCCTTTTCTTCTATACCTCTGCTGTCTAGTACAACTTCTGGCCACATGTGGTCATTGCAACTTGAAAAGTGGCTGGCCAAACTGAGATGGGCTCTAAGTGTAAAACACCTACTGGGTTGCAGAAAGTTCAAAATAATGTAAACTCTCTCATTAGTAATTTTATATAATCATTTTAATATATTAACATGATGCTAAAATATTATTTGGGGTTAAATAAAATATGCTAAATTTAATTTCATCTGTTCCTTCTTAGTTTTTAATTTGGTTACTAGAAAATTTTTAATTACCCGCGTGGCTTGTAAATTTCTATTGGACAGGCACTAAGGTAAAATGGTGCCGAATATTTCCGAATACCTACATACCTAGGGAAGGGAGGACATTCCTTCTTAGATTTCTTCCACACGTAGGCTTTCAGGGACCAGTCTGCCCTCCTACCACCACTCCTGCCCCTGTTCGTCAGGTGCTAAAGACAGGAAAGTCAGCAAGATCCATTTCTTACCCTTGCAAAGCTCACGGTCCAGTAGAAACGCTAGACAAACAAACAGGTGCTAATAGTAAAATTCAATGTACTCTCTGTTGCTGTTGTGGAAAGAGGGTTAAGAGGGCATAGATGAGGGAGTGGCTAACTAACTGCTTAGGAAAATTGGAGGCGGTTTCCCCAGAAAGTGGCCATGTGAGCTTTAAAAAATTAGTAGCACTCTGCCTGACGATTACTGGGGACAGGGAGAATATTTCCTAAGCCAAGGGAGTAATATGTGAGACAAGGGTGTGCCAAAGAAACCATGGCCAAGAGTACAGTGGTAGATGGGAATGACTGTACACCAACAGAATGCTTTTACAGATATCAGCAAGAATCCCCAAACAAAATAATATCTCTCGTACTCTTGCTTCACTCAGTCAACCTCAGCTGGAGTAAGAGCATGTGTTCCTTAGTATGAAGGTAATCAGTCTGCACCGGGATATATGCCCTTGGTTTTTCTCAGAACCACATGCTTCCCAACCAGAGACCCAGTCCATCCCTAACCCTCCACAAACCAGAGAAACCACCCAACATAGAGGAGGGAGCCTGAATTATGGTGTCTGATGATTCGGAGTCATATTTTGGCTCTTGTCAAATGACATAGCCTTGGGCAAGTCATACATCCTAAATAAGAATTCGTTTTCTGGTCTCTAGAAGGGAGATCATTCCTGCCCTACCTCTGTTATGGGGACTAAGGTAACACAGCTGAAAGCCTTTAGTAAGTCAGTATGCCAAGGTGCCATAATAATCACCATGCACCACGGGGGCTCCTCCAGGTCACTTGCACGTTTATCTCTCCCTCGCCCCCTTTTACTGTGTGCTAGTCTCAGTCATCATGAAATCTTCATCAGAGTTCACGACAAAGTGACTTTTACTGCCAAGTCCATTGAGGAGAGGCACATTTTTCTTTTCCAATCTTCAAAAGAGTAAAGCAAGGAAATTTTACAACCTTTCTATAATTCTATCTGTTTATCATCATTGGATGGTAGGACACAGTTCCCTACCACCAGGCATGCAAAAGAATTTAGAAATGTCTAAATAAACCATAAGAGTAAAAGGGTATCATGAATATATATATATTCTGACCAAGCCTGATAAGCTGAGGAAAATGAGTATGGAGTGCATTATCATGTTGGTTTTAAATAAGTCACAGTTTCTTACTTTGATACATTTATGAAGCATTCGTAAATGTGCCTATTAACTCTCTCTACTGTGAGGACTTTTTTTCTCCCCCAATTTTAACTTACACCATTCAGGGAATGAGTCGAGGAGCATGAATTCTCTCTTGGACTAAACCATCAACATTCACCTTGACACTGTGTGGTCTCTTGACCCTTCCTAAAAACTCTTTTCTCTGCAGTCCTAAGATACATTTGTTGCTTTTGGAGCAAATTTAAATTGTAATATTGATATCTTCAAATAATAAATTAGAGGGTTGTTGTTTACCATAAATAAGGATCCTTTTATTAAAAAAGAAGTACTCAGAGGATTTCTTTTAAAATTAAAGAACTCACCTATAGCATAACTTAATTTCTCATTTTGAATTTACCACAATTTCCCCAGTACCAGCGAACAACTTAGTACTCAGATCTTGCTTTCTAAATTCCATTCTCCAGGCAATGGAAACAAGACTCCTTGGAGAAATGGCTGACTACAAGACTGGGGCAGAGAAATACAAGATGAGCCTGGAACACCTTGGGTTCCAGAAAGTAAATTAATCTGAAATTACAGTGATGTGTCAAAAGGAAATAGGAGGCAACTCAAAGTGGCTGCCAATGGTCAAACCTGAATTTTGAGCAACAAAATACATAATGATAGTTATGAACTATTATACTCATAGAATAGAAATAAATACCCATGAGACTATATTGATATAAATAAATTAGTGAGGAAAAAGTATAATTCCAGTTAATAAATATAGAAGGAATGAGAGAAATAGAGAAATCACTGTTTTTAAAACAATACAGTAATAGTTGTTTCAGGCAAGAATCATCATCAATGGATGCTAAAATTTGTAGACCAAAGCCTTATGAAAAACACAATATTTTCAGAGCCTCAAAATATTGCCAAAAAAGATAATTATTAATTACAAAGGGAAACATAGTAACCTTATAATGGAAAAACATGGTGACATCACTATCACTAAATAATCCAAATTAATGTCACCATTAATGAGACACAGTTGACATCATATACCTCCTGCTATGAGGCATAGAAAAGGATACACATCACTTTTATAGCATTCTTGCAAAAATGCATAACCTCAACCTAATCTTGAGGGAAGAAATTAGACAAACACAAATTGAAAAACATTTTATAAGTAGCTGGACATTACTTATTAGAAAGCAGCAGGTTTGCAAAATACAAGGGAGAATGGTAAACTGCCACAGATTGGAGGAGGCTAAAGAAACACAAAACCAAATGCAATGTGGGATCAATTTAAAAATAAAAATAAAAATGCAGATGCAGTAGTTCTAGCCACTGTGGAGTCTGTTGGGAGTGACAAGTGATTTGGTGTTGCTGGAGAATAAAGTGCTAAGGGTCATAGAAGGAGCAATGGAGTTAGAGATGCTGACAGTGCCAGACTGGGGATGCTCATGCTCTGCCCTTTATAGGAGAGGGGAGGGACTCAAGGATGCAAACAGAGGAGCACTCTGATTAGCTGTGCATCTTGGTGAGACCATTAGGGGTTCTGTACCCCAAATGAATTGCTGGGACATCAGATCTGAGACAGGCGATATGAATTCCAATCTCCAAGGTGATCCCAGTAATATTCACCTCCTAGACATCACACACTAGCATGGCCCCTCTAACGCTGCACAAAGACTACATCTTCCCTTTGCAGCTACATGTGATCATATAACTAGATTCTGGCTAATGGGGTGTAAGGAGAATTGTATGTAATTTCCAGGAAATATTCTTAAATAGGGAGATATACACATCTTTGTCCTTTCTCCTTCCTCCTGGTTTAGTGTGGACATAAGGGTTGAAGCTCATGTAGCCATCTGGGATTATGAGGTGAACCCACAGATTCAGAGTGGTGAAACAGCGAGGTAGAAGGAATCTTGATCCCCAAGCCACTCTTTCAGTCCCAGAATGCTAATCTTTGAACTTCATTTATGTAAAGGAAAAAAACCTATCGTTTCATGGTGCTGTTTGTTCTTTTAGGTTTTCTATCATTCACAACAAATCTAGTAATAACTCTGTGAACAAACGGAAACTCTAAGATGTGCATTTAGGTCACAGAAGGAAGTCATTCTTTTAGGTCTCCATGTGACAAAATCATACCTACTAAGTACAAAAGCAGATGAATGGTTTTAATAGTACGGATACTCTTCATGACAAACTATATCATGAAGTAAAACAAACAATGACTTACCTGCCAAGGCTCAAAATCAGGTATATATGCACAGGTGCTTCCTGGAATATATGGTCTGTATCCTTCTTCACATCTACTTAGATGATCCAGGGTATATGCCATAGAGTACACAGCTTGTTTCACATTGTTTGTAACTCTTAGCTGAGACACATCCAGATAGGTGTTTTTAAGATCTTCCAACTTCTCCTCTCCAGTACAGAATTTATCAGACATGGCATGCAATCTGTCCTCTTTACCAGTCATATTCATTCTATGGTCAATGTTGTATGGAGCACTACTATTGGGCCACATACAGTTAAAAGCAGTTTGCCAAAATTCAATGGTCAGGACATCATTTGGATCCTTGCTGGGATGGACATCATAAAGAAATTCTTTTAATCCTGGTATATCAGCTCTGGGTACTGCAAATCCAATACTTCCACCAAAATATGGGAAATAGTCAGGCTTTGCAATGAGGGCTGAGGTGATCCAGGCTTCACTCGCTATCCATGTTCTGTCAGTTATGTTATGGTGAACCATTTCCAGCACAAAAGGACTTAGGTCAATATCAGATGCATAAAGCACAATGACTCTGGCAGTGGAATTCTTTATGGCATTAATAGCTTTCTGCATTTTCTCATTAGAATGGACCTTGGGAATGATTTCAGAGAATGCAATACAGAGGTTGGCACTCTCCTTTTTTTCCTTAAAGATTCTTACTCCGTATTTTCCATAATCATCATCAGCTGCTATGGTACCTATCCAGACCCAACCAAAGTTTTGGATAAGTTGTATCACGGCCTCCGACTAGATCTTATCACTGGCTACTGTGCGATGATAAGATGGAAACTGGTATTTGTCACTGAGAACTGAGCAGGTAGAAGCACAGCCCACCTATGATTGAAAATATTCATGTAGTTATTAGGAAGCAGTAGCCAAATCCCAAATGACACCATCTCTGAGTATTTGTACTGGAGGAGGGGGGAACCTAACAGTTCTCCCTTTGTTCTCACACCCTTCCACAGGCAAAAGGATTTCTCCTTCTATCCCTCCACGGGTGGTGGGGACTGTTAGAGGGAGCACTCTGGGCTTTCCTATCCCTCCTTCTCTCAATCCAGCCCAAGGGAGTTGGAGAAGCTAATTATTAAGATGATGACATTCAATGCACCACTTTTCACAGGTGGGGTCACAGCAATGAAAAGGAAGTAATCTGCCCTCTTATCGATGTTTTCCTGAGACTAGGTGCGTGATTCAAGCCATGCAGGCTCTTTCTCAAATCTAACTCCTCAACCACTCAGATGATGGCGTAAGTAGACTCACAATTTATTTAGTAGGTCCAGTTTCTCCCTGTCTCTCTCCTGCCCTCTCTCTCTCCCTCTCTGTCTCCTTCTCTCTCTCTCTCCATCACCACTTTCCTTCTTTTTCTCCTCTTCTCTCTTTCTTTCTCTCTGCCAGGACTTCTGGGTATTTAAGTCCTAAGATTTAGCTTGAGAAAGATGGTAGGGAATGTCACTTTAAGCCCAACAAAGTTCTCCAACAAAGTTACTAGAAGCCTTCAGTTTATAAGCACTTGCCTAGATATACAAACAGGCATTTTTCTCATTTTGCCAGTGATTCTTGTGCATAATTTCCATGAGTGTGGCCAGTACCATGAATCTCTC